AGTTGCCCCTGACCAGGGGGCAACTACAGAGTAATTGGTCCCACCTGTGTGTGTGTCTGTGAACAGTCTCTAACTCGAGTGCCAAGGTTTAACAAGTTGATGTTTTTCAGGTGAGCTAGGAATGATTAGATGTTGGAGTCAATCATGCAAAAAATAGCTCCGCTAGAGGTCAAAGGTCACTTTTTCAAAAATGTTGTGTACCTTCAAAAGGATGAAAGGCAGATTTATGGTATTTGGTGCAGATAAGCAGCCATGTTGGGGCTTTCTGTTGGCGATGTTACATTTGACCTTAGATGATATTTCAAGGTCAGACTGGAGGTCATGCATTTTGACTGCACTGTAACTTGCAAACTGTGCAAGATAAACACATTGTTTGTATTGAAAACCATATATAGGCTTCCCATTTTTTCTTCCCAATTTTGATATTGTCATTGTATTTAAAATACAAAAAACATATAACGTAAACATGGATAGTACCCATTTCACCTTGAACTACCAGCCAACCATGATTAGTGAAAGACAACCCCTATTTTGTGGTAAGTTGGACAGAATAATGGTTTACCGGTGCAATAATTGCTGCCAGGGGCAACTTCATCCCTCTACTGAGGACCCTCTAGCTCCAGTTTGGTTTCTATTTTCCTTTATTTACCTCTCCACTGCATTTGATTGATTAAACGAGAGCGACAAGTAATAAAACATTTCAAAATTGTGGTTTAAAGGATAGATTTATTTGTTTCGTTTATTATTGTAATACACTTAGTTTTACTGACTACACCACCCGCTTGTATTTAGGTTCGAGGAGACACTTCCACAGTCATCAGAATAAGGTTTTTCTATGCAACAACATCCCAGTTTCTATTAGAATACTGCTGGTTGGTTTGTCAAAGGCAGGATAAAGGCTTATGCAGATGTCTGAAACAACATTATGTTTTACACATCATCAGGGTGCTCAGAGACATTATTAAAATAACATATAACAGTAATGTGCACCCAAAAATAAACGCTAATATTATACAGGGTACTTACGGCATTCATAGTGAAGGTCAAACATAAAACAGCAGTCCTGGAAAATATAAGGTAATGTGCGTGCCTGTGGGTGTTGGTGGGGGAAGGTGCAAATGGCTGCGGAAAGTACATCCAAGGAAAGAGAAGAAAAAAGAGAAAGCAGGAGAGGATGTGATGACCTAAAACTGCCTCTGCTGCCACTATGTGAAAGAATGGAAAGATCCGATCACAAGTGGGACAATCTACAGTCACCTACACGCAGCGCTGTCACGACAACCACGGCTCACTTTTACAGCACTGAGCTGAGCATCCATGGAAACTTAATGCAAATCAGATAGGTTTATAGTCAGTCTGAAACACCAGTTGGAGAGTCTGTAAGCTCAGTCAAGCTTTATTCAAACCCACACAGTGTCATATCAAATTGTAGTAAAGGATTTGTATCAGTATGTTGTACAACACTCATGATATTGACAATGTGGGATAAGATGATTTGTATCTGACAGTTTTTAAAGGACATTTGAAAGGGAAAACTGGTTAAAGCAAACACCTGGGGTAAATAAAACATACCATTGAAACAAGTCGACAGTGCACCTTGCATTTCTGTGACAGTTTCTTCTTGTTCCCATTGAACTGTCTAAATGCAGACAGCGTGACACAGCCGCTTGTCTCCAGCAGCTAAGACGCAATTTCATGGTTGGCATTTTTCATCTTTTGCTGCCAGCACCTCAGTTTGCTTCTCCAGTCAACGGGAGAGATAAATGAAGGGAAATGAAAGCAAACAAGACAATTTCATTCATCATCATATAATAATAAATACATTTCATTACACTTTACAACAAAACTCAGCACATAAACATTTTTAAAACAGTAAAAACAAAACTGTACAGCTATTTTTAAAAAGAGGTTAGTGTAGTACATTTACACAACTGCTACTTCTTTTTTCACTTTTACGTTTCAGAGGTAAATATGCTACTTAACTTGCCCCTGCTTGTTTGACAGCTGCTTTACAGGTTACTTTGCAGATAAATATATAAAAGTGCAGTCCCTTAAATGAAAAGTATACAGTAATTTCAGCCTCCTGGGAGTATTTAAAATGACTTTGTTCTGTCATAATTGGCAGCAATATCAAAATGGTGCTTACATGTTAATGCATGAGTAATAGTAATCCAGTTTTTTAACACTGACGAGTGTCCTGGACTTATTCCCATCGTTGTCCCTTGTGTTTTCTCAGTCCAACAACCTCATCAAGGCAGCGACAACAAACCTAAATCTGTGTCACAATAGAATAAAACACTGGTTGTTGAATGGGTTAATGTCATTGGATTTTAAGCTAGTTTTAGTAGCGTAGTAATACCTCCACATTCCACTACAGAATACCATTGAGCAGCCATCTGTTTTAAAGGCTATAACGTTAGGGTTTTCCTCCTCCTTATCTGACTTCAGCCTACAAAGAGTTAACTTTTTCTGCAATGGCTCTTGTGTTATGACTGCGGAGTTCACCCACCTTCTTCAAGTAATTATAAAAATAACAAGGTACACGTCTATGTAAAATCCTATACACAGTATTCACATAAATATGCGGTGCCTTTTCCACTACTGGAAGTTAGAGAAGCTGGAAGAAGGGAAATTTTGCAGCATGACTTTGAAAATAAAACCTGATGATAACTGTTAATTGAAAATTAGAATCTATGACTTATTTTTAAATTGTGGTACTTAGTAAAAAATCTTTGAAAGAAGGTGTTAGTTTCCAGGCTCCTTGCAGACTAACACAGTCTAATCTGAAATATAAGATGCAGTAAACGGGGCTGAACCATAGATTTGATGTTTTTATGTAAGCTGAGGCTGCCAGCAAAGACTCCCACGATGAACAAATGAGACCGTAGAGGATTCAGGAATCAGGCTTTTACACCGTTGGTGCCTCCGTCTTATTAAGTAAGAGGAAAATGTGATACATCCACAAATTGCCATCATGAAAGAAATTTTATTCTGTACCGAACAAAAATATAAACGCAGCATGTAATACTTTATTAAATTCTGTCTGTTCTTTTCAACGTAGCGGAATAAGCATTTGTTGTTGCAACACAAAGCGTGTCTACAACAGAAAGTACGCAGCATATTGAGAATGAGTGGACAGATGGATAGTGGGGTCATAGTCGAGAATATCACAAGCCAGTAATGAGTCACACATCTGCAGCATAAAGTGTTATGGAGGTTGTCGATGCTGCTTCTTGAACGTTTTAGTGAAGGGCTCGATGAGACATTTCTGGGGACAGGATTACTTTGTTGTACATCCATCCAGAGCATCCCACAGATGTCCAGTGGGTGACATTTCTGGCGAGTTTGTAGATCACGGTAGGGCTGGAACATTTCCAGCTGCTACTAGAGGAGGGCAGTGCAGATTCTGGTGACATGAAGACATGCATTGTCTTGATGAAACATCCAGTAATGGCGGGAAATAAATGGGATAACTATTGGCGTGAGGGTTTAAACTCTGCATTGTTGAGATTCCCATTGATGAAATGCAGATGTGGGCTTACTGTCACGCCACTCATAAACCAGCTTCCCCACGTAGATTCCTCCCAGTTTGAGCTGATAGTCTCTCTCACACCAGCAGCTTTATCAGGAGGCTCTGTCGCTGATCAATAGCAATTTTGCAGAACAAGCTGGATGTGCAAATTCTGGGATCATGTGGTCATACCATGTTGTCTCAAGCTATCTTTTTAGATACAAATGGTGAAATCGTGAACATTGAAGTATAGAACTGACATGGCAGCATCCAGCAGCCTGTTCTTGTCTTTCTCTCATCATCTGTGACATCGTGTCATTTGAACAAAGCTGTGTTTTAAGGTGGACTTTTACAATCACTGATCAAAGTAGTGTCTCTGTGCTTTCCACACTATCTGATCATTGTCCTCTAAAGCCACACCTGACACGAGATATTCATGTGTGAGAACAACATAATTATCACACGGTGTTTCATTGCAAGAGATCGCAGGATATCGGTGCAGTTCATTCCAAGGTTAGAATTAAATGAAATCAAATCAAAATGCTCCATGTTTCATGCAAGTACGCCTGTTATCCTTAGTCGACAGCTGGTATGACCGCACTGTGAAATTTGCTCCACAACTTCTCTTGTTTCTTCATATTAGTAATGCGAGGCCACAATTTAACTATGTCGTTCCCACGCATTAATAACTCGTGGCCACGATTTACTAATGTGTGGGAACGAGTTATTTTTATTTCTTATCGATGTCACCAGACGGGCTCCGTACATTTCTGCAGGGTTGAGTGTACAATTATACAAACAGGCAGCAGCTCCTCTGACCAGCTCATGCTGAAGTCTTGCAGGACTGTGGCTCCATCTGGTGGCACTCAACAGTCTTGCAGTTATTCTAGTAGTAGGTCAATCCCAGCTCACTTGTTTAGACCCTCTTTATCTTTCATTGCAGATTTACAGGGTACAGTGCACGTCAGAATGAAATGTCATTGCATTAGGCTCAAAGAAAAAAAAAGGGGCAAAATAGGGGATCTATATGTAAAAATGATAAATAGGTAGTAGAAAATATAAATGAAAGAAACTCTGAATGAAACCTATGTAAAATACAACATCTACATATCTTGCACGTGTCTGTTATAGTGTTTTTATTGCACAGTGGATCAGTCCAGCAGTGGGGGGTGGGGGGCTTATTTCTGACCTGGTGTTTCCCCATTTAGACACATCAAGTGACCTGATGGTGTTATCGCCTCATCAGCAGGTTGCTGTCGGCCGCGAGCCTCTACATAGAACTATAAATAACACATCCAGAGATAGAACAGTCTGCAGCCTCGTTTAACACACAAACTCTAACCGCTGTAGCATTTACATTACAGTTGGTTTTTTACGAGCGAGGTTTTTATTTAGTTGACGGGAGCGAGCGCCGCATCAGGAGGAGATTGCGCGTTCACGCTGGGCTGCAAGGAGGCGAAGGGGGCGGGGCTTACCGGCGTCACTTCTTCATCACATCCCGGACGATCCGCTGCAGCAGCAGCCACCGGCCCGCTCCGTGGCACGTCTCACTCACACGTCCCAGTTTTTTTTTTCTGACGACCGGGAGGACAGGAGCCCGCTTTGGCCGCTCAAGCATGGGAAACCTGCTGCTCTCCACCGGGTAAACGCCACCACGACACGTCGCATTTGCTTTGCGTGCTTTGTATGGGAACTTGCATGAATGTTAACCCCACGTATGCGGATGATGTGCTGAGCCTCCTGAGACCCGGTAATGCAGTGAATTCGCTCAGGGATCGGCGGCTGCACGGCTCAGACAGAGAGACGATAAAGTGCTTGTGGTGTTTTTCCCCCTCCTCCTCCTCCTCCTCCTCCTCCTCCTCAGACAGATGCACAGGATCATGCTATGTGCGTCAAGACGATGAGGAAGTAACATCAGACACCCAATTTGTTAGTGTGCAGCCTAAAAACACTGCTACAGAACAAAAAAAAGGCACAGCACTGAGTTACATGTAGATATATGATGATTATAAAGCTTTATTTATATTTAAACTGTATTGATCCACAAGGACAAATGTTTTATCATGGTAGCACAAAATAAATAAAAACAAGAAGTAAAAAAAAAAAAAAAGCAAGCAGGAAAAAAAATACAAAGATTTCTATATGCACAATTTAACTTTTTTTTTTTTGCTTTTGTTTGTTTAGTTTTTTGTTTTTGCAAAGTAAAGAAAGACAATAAAAGAGATAATAATATTAAAATAAAATAAAATAAAGAAGTCTAAGTGCAACTACAATAAGGTAAATTTTTTTTAAAAGTGTAAAACGCAGCCAGATGACCTCTGGTGTCATTGTGAAATGATCACGGTGGCTGAAATGATGCAGATCTGTCATGAAACACCATTTATTTATAAGCTGCAGGAGAATTTCTCAGTTTACAGTTGACATTTGGTTCAGTAATCTCTCCTGTCAATACCTGCCTCGTAGATATATATAGGTATAATTTATGAAAATGTAGCATCAGAATAAAGAGAAAAAGAGTCGCAGAGCAAGTACACATACCAGAGGAAGTCTGTTCCACAGTCAAGTCTGAAACTTTGACCTTCGGTTAATGTCGTCTTATTTCACCATAGTTGCAGTACTTTGTGTGCAAGTGATTTTGCAAGTAGATGTTATGGCTACAAAATCTGTTTATTGACCTTAAACAATCAACAATAAACAAGACTTCTTGACAAACAGTGACAGTATTGAATTTGTCTGGGTCTCAGGAGGATATATGCACGACAATCTTACACAATAACACATCACGTTTGTTACGATCACATCATGTCAGTGTTCTCTGTCAGACTGTGGCAATGATTCATGTCTAAGTCTGACTTATTTTTTTGTTCCAGTCTCTTCAAAACTGATGCAACCACATCTGATCAAGCCAGCAATGGGGAGTTTGAAGCCAAAAAGATCAGCCATGGCATAACTTACTATTACACTCTGGGGGCAGTTACTCAGACAACATCTCCTGACCAAAGTTCACAACCTCCTGGCCCCCTCTTGTCCCTTTCACCCTCAGCTGCCCCTCTCAGTGACTCCTCCTCTGCAGCTGCTTCCTCCTCGCCGCTGCTCTCAGATTCACCTTCAGACACACCTGTCTCCTCCCAAAACCAATCACATTCTGAACCCACCGCCCGCCCGCTCCTTGTTTTCTTCTCGTGGCTCGGAGCCCGGCCAGCGGCGGTGGCCAAATACAGGGACCTGTACATGGACCGTGGCATGGATGTCCTCCTGGTGCAGAGTCGTGTAACGCACTTCTTGTGGCCTCGGTGGGGGCTCGAATATGGGTTGGAGGTTTTGAACATCCTGGAAGAGCCTCAGTTCTCACAGAGGACCGTGCTGGTCCACGCCTCATCCATCGGCGGCTACACTTTCACCCAGATTCTCACCCACATTGCGGAAGGACCCAAACAACACTCAGGCCTGGCACAGAGGGTGATAGGGCACATCTATGACAGCTTGGTGGTTGGCTCTCTGGAGCACATGGCGATAGGTGAGTGAGAGTGATTCGCCACAGTCCCACAGGGGCTCAGGTTACTTTTGTGTTGGATATCTGCGTCAGATCTTTAAATAATTCATCAGCCGTCTGACCTACTGCTCCAGTTTGTCATGAGCCCAGGATTCTTTATGGCAGCTCATTCTTGCCTCAGGACAATGTGTGCACAGTTTGTTCATTATTCAGCTAACTTAACCGTTTTATTATTACTGGTTTGTTGCTTTATTTCAATTTCTGAGTGACCGTTTAAGTCTACAGAATGTCCCAGACGCTCAAATTACCTCCCCTGTCTAATGAAATAGAAAAACATACACATACAAAATCACACAAGTGTTCAGTTCCTGTAGTTACTCAGTTTCAGTATTTGCAAGTTTGTTATTGACTCACCTGACCTTGTAACACAAATGAAATTCTGGGGTCCTAATAGCCTAACATTTGTATTTATTTATTTATTTAGCTTGCAAGATCTCTTTGAATATTACATTATCTCATATTTGCTGTGTGGCAGTTTGATTAAACATCCTTGAATTTTTTTTTTAAATCAAGGGGTGATCAAATGTACCGATTCTGTGCCTATAAAACTCCAAAACCTGATTTAAATGTCACTGCTCTACATGTCCAAGTATTCTCCTTTTGCAGTGATACAGCTCCCTTAAAGTCCAGCTATTTATAACATATCAATAGCCATCTGCATGCTGGTGCCACCAAACTGTGTTAAAATGGCGACCTTCAATTTGAATTTATTTTGAGGAAGAAGTCACAGGAAGCCACATATAGCGAGGAGGGCAGGTGGGGAGCAATGATCCTGTTATTGTGGCCCAAAAAAAGTCATTACGAAATTGCTACGCAGTGACCGGATGCACAGAGCGTCGATGGTCGTTTGCCCAGAATGTTGTCTCTCAGGCACCTCAGGATGTTACTGTAGAACTCTGAATTGACAGTCCACCTCTTGACGATTAATTCCCTGTAAGGCAACGGGAACTGCAGACTGTGAAAACTGCTGTTTCTTCTCTTGGTGGTAGCCGCAGACCCACTAGTGAAGATTCTCAGCATGCAAACGTGCCATCAACAGTATAAGAATTTTTTTGATCACCCCTCATATGCAGGATAATCTGAAGTAATGAGGGCCTTCAATCTAGATTTTGATACAAGGCCTTCCAGACTAGAGAATAATAGATAAATGTTTTTGTCGTTGATGATCGATATTGCTAATTTCATGTCTATGGGACTTCTGTATTTGCTAAAGCCAGCTCTTTACTGTGCTGTATGATAAAATGACACTCCTCTTAACTATTAACTCTTTCTTGTTGATATTCAGGCCTCGGAAAGACTCTGATGCCCCGAATAGAGAGCTTCATCAGAAACACCGCCATGCTTTACTTCTGGCTTTTCAAAAGCCACACAGCGAACTTCTATGAAAACAGCATCCAAGTTTTCCACAACAGCCCGATTACTACGCCAGCCCTCTTCTTCTTCAGCGAAAACGACGCAATGTGCAACTGTGTCGTCCTGGAAAAGGTGATTGACTTGTGGAGGAAGAGGGGAGTGGCTGTGGAGAGCAGGAAGTGGAAGAAGTCGATACATGCAGCCCACATGCGATGCCACCCGGAGGATTACCTCTTCACGCTCCAGCACTACTTGAACTCGCTGCCTATTTTAAAGCAACAATGTGAAGCGATGGGCAAGTAAAGATCTTGCTTAACTGAATTTCCAAACTGCAACATACTTTTAATTTGAAGGAAAGCACACTTTGATTAGGTTATCTTGTAGCTGTGACATCAATAATGGTCAACAGTTTAATGATGCACGTTTCTCTGTATTTAAACGTTCTCAGTTTGCTTTTGCTGCTTGTTTTGAACCACCGTTACGAGGTTATTAATTATACTACTGGACCACAATATGTCACGTGACGCTTGTTTTGCACATTTACGAACAACAAGTGCTGCCTAATAAACTGTTACGACTCTTACCGGAGATATGAGTTCTGCAGACTATATACAATAAAGCTCAGTTGTGAATTGTTCCAAACAGCGCTTCTGGTTTTGTCTTTATTTCAGAAGAAAACCACTGAGGAATGTAAACTGTGGATTTACATAGTTCACAGTGGGATCGGATTTATTTGTGCGTGTGAACAGGTCAGGGAGAAGCATTTTTAGACAGGCAGGGATTTGTAAATGACAGCAGATTGAGAACCCCCTCAGATGAAAAGCAACTTTTAAACCTTGTTAGCATGTCCATATGGTGTCATTTTATTGGCTAGAAAAAACATCAGGGGCAAAATTAAACAGTCAGCATCTCTGTGGAGCATTTCCACCTTAAAACCTGCTGATGACAGTCTCAAAAACAAAGATTCAGACTTCTGGGGCCTAATTTATCAACCATGCCGAGAAAAGGTTCTAAATTCTGTTTTACGAATTAAATTTAGCATGTGTGTAAGTACAAAAAAAACAATCCATATTTATCAAACGTGTACATGGGTTTTACACACATCAGAAAATCATCAGTGTTGGTAAATCCCACTTGTTCTTCACCACTATGCTCGTGCACTTTCGGGACTTTTTTGCCTTCAGAAACGCCTCCAATTAACCGTATATGGTAACAACATGTCTCTTTAAGAAACGAGGATTGTTTTTTCCCCGCTCACCATTCTTCATCAGGGCAAAGAGGGCGACAAAGAGGAACTTTTCGTTAACCAAAATGGAGGTACTTGTCAGCGAGGTTGAAGCTAACCAGAAAGTATTGTTTGGTGCACACTGTAAAAAAATATTTTGACACTAAACTCAGCCAAAAAAAATGCATCATAGAGGAGGACAAACTAAAACCCAACGTTCACCCAGTGGATAACCCTGATCACCTACACATGAGATGTTTCAATAACTATACCAAGTCCAGCAGAAACATTTCCACACTTTGTAGCACCACCAACTAGCCAGCCATCCTCAACAGCTCCTGCTTGGAGACCCACAGAGATGTGAGTTGTGCGTTCCTCCAGGCCACTGATTTGGGCTCGTTGATGATGACTATAAGGAAACTGGATGTAGGCTGGGGCCGGGGAACTTATGGCATCCAACACTGCCAGCATGGTCCTGCTCAGTGGTGGCTGGGAAATGCTGCATATCTCCATACTCACGCTGGAATGTGCTGTTTGTCAAAATCCCTGAATGCTTTCTATTTATAGTTTCACTATTCTACCGCCAGATTATGTGCGTATGCATGGTCAAAGTTGTGCTTATATTTACGCACATTCTTAAGTGTAAGTACAAGTTGATAAATCCCATACTTTGTGTGGGAATGTTCCTACGCACTCATTACGCACACATCTGTGCGTCGGCACTGATGATGAATGAGGCCCTTGGAGTTTTACACATGGAACCATTTTTATTTTTTCGATTTGCAGTGTTTGGGTCTGGGTGTTATCAGACAATCTATGATTCATTTGTATTTTAAAAAACAAAACCAAAAGCATGCGTTTTAGTTTCTCATTTATAGGTTAAAACGAAAGACAGACAACTGTCAATTGTTGTTCCTGTTGAAAGTAGCTTGTGTTTGTTTTTTTGTGTTGGGTTTTGTTGTTGTTTTTTGCTTTCTGATTCCGATACCTGAGACAGTTTTTTCCATTTTTGGTTTGGTTTGGTTTCTGTATCTCTTCAGGATGAATGGTTTGAATGCGTGTATGGTTAAATTATTCACGATGTAACACAGAGTAGTTTTACAGTGTTTGAACGAAGGTGAGCTGGTGTACTGCAGGAACTTCATGGATCTGTACAGTGTAGAGTTCCATCCAAGCTATTTTAAGTCAGGAATAGATTCATTTCATGAAAAAAACCAAAACAACACACAGGTTTATTTTGGGGAGATTTAATCAATAACCAAAGAGGAACTTAACGGAATGTTTTTTGTTCCTTTAAGGTGTAACTATCAGTAATTTAAGGCTCGGTTGTGTGTTGTGGTCAGAAACAAAGCGTGTTGTGTATACTTTGTGAAGCTAACAGTACCTTCAGTGGATTCAGGGGAACTGCATAGATGGAGAAAAGGCTGCAGTATACAGAGTTGGTAGTAGAAACAGTGTGTGGCTGTTGGGTTTTGTTGGCCAACCAGTTTTGCAAACTGGCGTAGAGAGTAAAACACTAAAGTTATGCTACTTATTGTTGAAGAGTACATGGTTAACCTTCCTCCCAGGTGAAGCTAGTGGGCTGAGTCTCAGGCTACTACTAGAGTTGCATCCAGCAACTGCTATTTTTCTGGCGTAACTTTATTTTGCTGAGCTATTTTTCTAAAGTTGCCGACTTTAACCCCCATTCAGCCACATTCCACAAGGTAGCCCTGGCATCCAGAAAATATCCACATTGATTTTGTAGGAATGCAAAGATTTAGTCTTTGACTGGTTGATGTGTATGATTGAGGTTTAGCTGTGGGTTTAGTGAAAGCTCCTGCACAGACTGCGGTGATGAAACCTACTTTGAAGAGCTCTGGGAACAAAACGGCTCAACAAGACTGACTCAGAACCCGCAGCCAACGTAAAGAAACAAAAAGACACAGTGCGATGTCTCAACTAGGCGTGTGTCCTGAGACATAAGGGTCTTATATGGACTTATCCTTTGCGATTGAAATTGTAATTTTCTCATGAACTTGAGCAACTGTTGCATACTTTAATCAGCTGAAGATGACATAAAATGCTTAATATAGGGACGCTGCCCCTTTATTAAGAACTTCTAGACAAAGAGTTGTAAAAGAAATGTTCAGTAAAAATGTGGGCCTCAAGCTTCTTTCCTATACTTTCTATTATTACATTCTTCCTCGAATCCTTAACCCCAGAAGCTAAAACTGCTTAATGTTCTTTTATTTCATGTGAGAAGGTGTTTTTTTTTTTTACTTCTTCCAAGCTGTCACAGGGGCTTCAAATTTCATTAGAAATGGCTATAAATCTGGGAAACCTTTTTGAATTCTGTTGAAATAGAGCATGCACAGATTTTGAAGCGATGACTAGACTGAAATCACTCGAAAGGCTCTTACATGAATGTCAATCAAGTGGAGTTTAAGACTTCATTGCCCAAATATCTGTTTGTCGTCTTAATTTCATATTTATACGTTTGTCACATATACTTTGTTTTGTCAGTATGGCATCTATATATTTTGTTGTCGTGCTTCTTGTTCAGATTATTCTAATAATGCGGAAACCAATCAAGAAAGAAAGAGCAGAGCAGCCGGTGTAAGGAAGAACTGAACTAAGCTGATGGTTGCGTTCAGAGGAAACTACGAGTCTCAAGTTGTTAGGGCCAGTCACAGTAATTCAGCTTAAGCAGGTATAATCTCGCTCTCCCACTCTTTACTTGAGTGAGTGTGGGATTTAAAGGTGTGTCGGGTCAGTCCTGGAGAATAGTTACCTGTCTGAGGTCACAGAGGATTAAGAGCAGCACAGCCTGTTAGCTGCTCCACGACCTAATGATCGGAAAAAAGCAACGTCCGCCATGAGCTGCCATGGGTTTGATCTCACAACTTCTGCCACGAGGAAGGAAAAATCCAACATAGAAAAGCAAAATAGGGTATTTTTAGTATTGTGTAGACTCAAAGCCAAATATAATTACAGATTTTACAGGAACAAGTCAGTGTATATGTCCCCGCCATGAAAGGGATGTGATAGCTGGGAAAGATGAAGGTACAGACAACTTTAAAAGTAAAAAGCTAAAGTGAAAGATTTTTCTCAAATGACATGAAGCCAGTTTAGATGTTCTGAATCTCAAAGCTAAAGTAGTGTCTTTATTCAAACCTTAGCAAACATAAATACAGATAAACACTATCTTTTGTAAGATTTGACAAGTTCTATGCCTTTTGATTTTAGGTTTTGCTCCAGAGGAAACAATTTAGCGGTCCTTTCCGTGGAACTGTGATCTTCAGACTGGCACTAAATCAAGAGCACACCCCCGCATGTTATGAACAGAAAATGTCATTTATTGGATTTACGTCCATCGTCGGACATGGTTTCTTTCCGTGTAATAGTGAGTCATTCCGGTGTTTTGAAATAGATTTCCTAAAACAATAAAACATGCTCTCAGCTGTGTACGCAGATAGATTTCAGAGTCATTGTTATTTTACAGATAGCACGTTCTTTTGTCCGTCTGAGTTGCATTTAAAGTTGTTCACAATCAGAGTGGACAAAGTTGAGAGCCTGAATTTCCACACAAGTTAGAGGAAATGTGTTGTATAAATCCTATATGAATAAATGTGCCTTGCTTTGAGCGTTATAATGTCTTCTTCTATCAGTCCGATTACCTAAATATTAATTCTCATGAGCTGTAATGCTGTTTTCTGTTAGTTATTAAACTAATATGAAACAGAATGAAAGTTAGATCACAGCTTTAGTGAAACACTCAATATTTCTTCTCCTTCTTTACACAAAAGTCATGATTCTGAAACATGTTTTACAGTAAATCAAAGGTTTTTAGTAGCACGGTTTTAGCTGTAAATGTCTACATGATCCTTTGAAGGTTTTTAGACTTATTGATTTTTTTTTGATTCACCATGAAATAATTTTTATGTGGTTCATTTGCAAATAACCTGTTTTTAGATCCTTTATTAAAATAAGAAAGACGCCCTCCTCGCGCAATTTAAGAAAAGAAAAACAAATTGCTTTTCCAAGCTGGACAAAAAGAAGAAACTACATTTGTTTTTATTTGTGTGCAATAAAAGGTAGAAAACTGAAATATCAAATACAGTCTAATGAGCATTTTTACTACAGTTTAAGTTTTCTCAAAAGCTACAAAGCATTAATATTATAGTCATGGACACATGGATGCTATAGATTCAGTATTTAGTGTTACTGTCTGTTTTATAAGCGAACATGCGTGGAGGGACTCACCCTCTTTGGTACAGAAGCTTCTCCTTAAGTTATTCTTTTATAGATGATTTGATCGCCTGTTTTAATGTACATTATTGTACAGCGTGCTCTGAGCGCTCTCGGCCCTTCAGCACACTCCCCTCCGTATGATGAGCAGACTGATGTGTAATACTTTGCAGCTGGGTATTCGTTGTGTCATCACTCTCCATGATGATGTTAGTGTTTGGCTATTTGTATGTGGGTCAAAGTTGAACCTTTATCTGAACATTATTGTGCTCCGAGTGGTAACGTTTTCAAAACGTAGGCATCTGTAATAATCTACAGAGATGAAACTCTTACCTGCTTCCTCGGGATTCACTTTTTAAAAAACTTATATATATGTATATATATATCCCATTTTAAGTTTCTGAAACTATTTATACAAAAAAAGAAGTTTAGAAAATCACTGTTGGTGCCAAACCTTGGAGCAATTTATCTCGCTCACTCAAGAAGTAATTTTAAAAAAAGGTGCAGCAAAACTCTGAATATAAAAGACATTTAAGCTTTTAAAAAAATCCAAATACATAAACAGCAAACAGGACAAATAGAGTTCAGTTGAGTTGATTTTATAAAGTAAAATGAATAAAAATATTAGTAGCAGAATCACTTATTTTGTATTCTTGTATTTTGGAGGGCATTAACCTTATGGTCGACTTTGAATTCACAATATTTCACAGCAGCCCGTCACTATGTTACAGCAATGTTATCTAAATTAAAAATAGTAATGGACATTGCAAAATACTTCACTGCTGTGATGGTTATTAAAGCCTTCTATTATAAACATTAAGGTTCAGCTCTTTCAGTTTGCTGTTTAACGTCGTTTTTGCGTAACATGCACATTACATTCGTTGCACTAATAGAATATACAAATTATATCCATCCATCCAT